AGAAATTTAATTTGTAAGCACCCATTGTGAAGGCAATTCTGTATCATAAGGAATAATTATCAATTCTTCAACCATAAAAGATCTTTTAGGACATTTTAACACATAATCATCATCATCAATTAACCCAAATGGGATTTCTTCCAGCTAGTATAAGACCAGCTGATTTTTTTATACCATAAATTGACAGATATGATAAATATGTGGGGACTAATTTAAATTATCAGCACGACATCTCCCACCCTCTAACTCACGAGTATTTATTAAATATCTTATAAAATATTACTGGAAAGCTTTTCTTCATCATATCCTATAGGTTCATCATGAAAATAAGAAGGTTTAGCAAAGACCTCTTCTTTTTTTATTACCACAGTTGGAGAAATACCAAGCTGGCATGTAATAGAATCATTAATATATTCGATAACTATAGGTGATTCTTTACCCAACCCAGAATATCTTATTTATGTGTAAAGTTAAAAAAATCAGAGGCATCCTGAGATAGAAACAGATTATTAGTTAAGTCTCCATTAAATTTTTCAACAATATCCATAGTATTTTATTTTCAGCCTTATGAATTTTTATGCTATGCTCTCTCATTAATTTCTTATAGTCACCCTTAAATTCTGGACCTTTATCTGTCAAAAATGATTTTGGCCAAATAAGCAGACACTCAGGATCATCATATATCATATTAAGAGCTCTAGCAATAGTCTTTGAAGTTAAGATCCCCAGCTTATACTTAACACTATATACACCAATAGGAATAAATACTTTATATCTCGAAGCTACGTCTACAATATTAAGACAAAAAAGATAGGTAATCTGACCTACTTTATCATAAGACATATAGAGAACATCCACCTTGTGAACTTTATTAGGAGTAGTAATAGAGCAAAACTTACTCGAGGAATACTGTATATCTAGGACAAGGCTTATGTATCTGGTATACAGCCTATCTCTTAAGCCAATCATGCACTTCATTTAAAGTAAAATCAAACCCAGCTTTTAAAGAAGCTTCAAGCAATTTTTTAGCATTTCTCTGATATTCAATAGGTTGATAATATATTTTTTGCAAATCAATAGATATATTTAAATTTCTAGCTTTACTCGAATCTATTTATATAATAGAAATTAATGACATAGACCTGACTTATATCGAAATCCTTGATACTAATAAAGAGTTGCATAAAGAATTAGCAAATAAAATAGTCTCAAATGATATTTCCAATAAAAAGCTTAAGACTCTTAACAGGGTGTTAGATGCATGTTATAAAACTATATTGCAACAAGACTCTATAATCTTAATTTATGAAAATGAGATAGCGTCTCTTAAGACTAAGATCAAATCACTTAAACAGCGTCTTCACAAAACATTGCAGAATTTATGACATAAAGGTAATGCTAGTACTACACAAGAAATTAATATTTTGAGGTTAGAAGACAAGGTTGATCAGCTTAAGACTCGTATTTATGAAATAACTGGTTTAAGTCATAAAAAAGTTTCAAACAATAAAGAAATATTAGATATGGAGCATACAATACAAGCTATTTTAGATAGGTGATTTGAGATTATAGCTTCTTTAGCAAGAATTCAAATACATTTGGATAATACAAGAGTTATTTTTTCAGATGATATAAGAGGCAATTTGATGGAGTTGGTACATGTTTAGCTAATATTATTACCTATACCCGTTTAATTTAAAGATATTAGTAAGATCGAAATATAGTAGTAGAATAAAGTGTTAGATGAGCTAGAACTCTAAGCAACAATTGCAAGAAGCCCGAGCTAGGTCACAGAATGATAATCAAATGCTAACACAAGCTCTAAATAATAAAGCAAATGAGCGTTGTGTATAGTGGCTTAGGACTCAGAAAGCAGAAAGGTGTAACTATATATTATTGCAAGAAAAGGTAGGCCTTCGTCTAATAAATCAAAGGCATAAAGCTGAAGCAGACTTAGCAGAATTTAATAGAGCCTAGGTATTTAACCGATATCAAAAATGGAAAGCTTGAAAAATAAATTCCTGGCAAATTATTTTAAATCTACAAAATAATCTGCTAATTAACCTATCAAATATGGCAGAAGCTAGACGTCAATCGTTATATATCACAATAGCAACTATTTTTGCTAAATATGAACAATATTCTAGGCAAGAATCTCCTGATAAGTACTTAAGTAAAATTTGGAATTCTATATCACATTTAGAGCCAAATATGACAGCACTTGAAAATGCTAACGCAGGAGACTTTGATGATGCAATTAAATTTGGTCTTTTAAAATCCAAGTTGAAAGAAAAGTATATATCAGTTCCTAATAACGATCCATATACAGTTACTAATCATGCTATTAATTCTCCAGCTACTTTACGAACATGAATGAGAGCAAAATATCAGCGTAAAACAATAGGTAGTCAGCAAGTGGCCTTTTAAAGATTAACTCAAGAAAGATTTTTACCTAGAGATTCATCTGATACATATGAAAAAGAATTCAATCTTTATTATTAGGTATTGCAGATAATGATGCACGAGTTTTAGGATTTCTTAAAAGTTACTTATCAGGTGATCTTTTTACATGAATGAGAATAGCTAATCCTGATGGTATAGATACATTCTTTATATAATTAAAAGATTTGTGGTTAGAACGTAATCCAAGTGTAAATACTGGTCAAATACCTATACTACCACAACCAGAATTTCAACCAGTAATACCTACTCCTATTCCACAAAAAGATGATTTTAAAATTTGATTTGCAAGGGATTTGCAATATACAAGAATAGCAACAGATAACGAAACTTTAGAAAATTTTATCTATGATGATCTTCAAAAAAAATTGGAAAGCAGAATAGCTCATATAAGAAAGAGTCCTTTTGAGTCTAGAAGTATTAATGCTACAAAAAAAGTGGTTAGAAAGGTAGTACAAAAACTACCAGTTAAACGAATTATTCGTCTTTGCTCAGTATGTAGAAAGGCTGGTCATACAAAGATTAATTATCCTGGAGTTAAGCAGACTAAAAAGGTTAATTATGTATACCAAAATAATGAGGAAGATCCAGTCCTAAGAGGACCTCCTGATGACTCTAAAGAACCTGAAATAAAATATATATTTGAGGAGAAGGAAGACGAAGAGCTTGAAATAGAATACATAGTTGAGAAAGAAGTAGAAAAAGATGTCGAATATATTGATGATGATGAATCTACCTTAAATACTAGAGCTCCTAATGAGTCGAGTTTACTCACGAGTCAAATGAGTTGACTCGAGTTTGAGTTGAATCGAGTCAAAAATTTTCCGACTCACTTGACTCGAGTCGAGTCATTAGTCGAGTTGAGTCAATAAATTAACCCGACTCATTTCAACTCGAGTTGACTCGAGTTGACTCACATGAATTGATGTTACACTAATTACCATTTTGGGAATTTTATGTAAAACATTTTGGTGATTTTCAAATTTTTCGATAGCCAAAATTTTCCTTTTTAGGAATTTGTATAACCATATATCTATATTTGGAATCTTGTGTAACTCCATTTAGTACAATCCCGGAATTCGAAAATATACCGGTTACGAAGCTTTAATTGAATATTTTTAACATGTTTTCTTGAATATCTCAGCGTCTAGTGATTCGTTAGAAATGCAACATATATCATGTTGATGAGCGCATCTCAGCGAACATGATGGTGTAGATTTAATGAAATTCTGATCGGTAGATCATTAGATAATAGCTTCTGAAACATTAATATAATTTTATTATTTTATTATTTATATAATCAGCAAATATGTTTTGGGGTTTTTATTTGACTCGAGTTGAGTTGAGTCAAATTTAAGTATAACTCAATTGAGTCGAGTTAGAGTTTTAAAATTTTTTGACTTGACTTGACTCGACTCAAATTTTTTGAGTTGAGTCGAGTTATCTTTAAAACTCGACTCGACTCGACTCATTAAGAGCTTTATTAAATACTACTGACCAAAACTGCTATGCTATAAAAAAAAAGATGCGAAGTAGAATACCTATGAAAAGGACCCATAAGAAGGAATCCCTTACTTCCAAGTCTCGTAAAAAGCAGAACCCTTAGCACCTATACTATAATTATAGATTATGTTTTTCTAATAGCCTTAAAATCTATATTATCATTAGTTATATAATATATTCCTAAAGAAATTCTTAAGGAAGGCTCTTAATATATTAATACAATATATCCTAAATTGAAAGATCAGATTCTGAATACGGCTATGAAAAATGATACTGTCATGAAAAGGGAAAAATTATGGGGCATGTTACAAATAAAATTATAGATGTTTTACATCCACTAATTCAAGTCACAAATATGGAGCAAAAACCTCTTATTCAAGTTCCAATAGAATTAAAGCCAGATGACCCTATGAATAATATAATACCAGTGGGTTCTAATACTCTAAACCATGCTATTAAAGCATATGCATAATATCATTTAGCTAAAAAAAAAATAGTCAAGTATATTGGCCCAAGCCTTTAAAGATAAATTTTTTACAAATAAAGGATGCTAATGATGTTGCGACTATTTATTGCAAAATAGGAAGTTTAGTAATACCTTGTGCAATGATTAATACAGGCTCTGATTCTTTCATATTTTCAGATAATATTGCTAAACTTGTCAAAGAGCTTTTATGTATTAAAATTAATAGGAAAAAAATTCATAGGCTTAATGGAGTCGCAAGTCAATAAGCACTATGGATAATGTTCCTATAACAATTGGTTCTGGAGAAAGTACAGCCTCTATTATAGATGAATTTTCTGTTGTACCTGCGGAAAAGGATTGGAATGAAAATGCTAAATCTTTAGTAATTCTTGGTACTCAATGGCAATATCGAGCTGGATGTAAACCTCTAATAAAAGAAGAATTTAAAGACACATGTAATGAAAAGACTATTACTATTCCCTTATCAGTTCACAAATTTCAGCGTAATACCTTTACTGTAGAGAAGAAAGACTTAAACAAAAGTTAGATAATCAGATATGTATATAATGTTTTAAGGTATTTTGTTATCCTTGTAAATTAAGAGAGCATATGAAAAGAAATAATCAGTGCTCATGAAAATTGACTGACTGCTTACAAGAAATGACTGATTGCCCACGAAAAGTGACTGACTGCCTACAAGAAGTGACTGACTGCTCACGAGAAGTGACTATACTTATTCGATTATTATTGGTATAGATTTATAACAGATTTAGGATGAAACTATGAACATATGAGCGGAATGTATATTTTTTTCAGATAGCAGGATCATCTTTATTTGTATGAAAACTAGGTATAATAAAATTTATTATTCTCGATAGAAGAGGTGTGACCACCATAGTCACAGTGGCGCAGTATATTTTTCTGATAACGATAATTAGCCATAAAAGTTCGATTTGCTGTAACGATCTTGAAACGCAAATATCTCGACATCTACCAGCCCAAATTTGATGAAATTGATGTACTGGATTCAGTAGATTCTGATATTTCCATCAAGCCTAAATTCGCATAAATCCGATCAGTGGATATCGAGATATTATCCTTCAAAGTTTGGGTAAAAAATATATATACTCTATTTTATGTTTTAGCCAATTAGATCGCTCGAATATAACTGCGTGATCATGTGACACCGCGTGGACTTCCGTTGGATGTCATCTGACACTGAACCCTAAGGGAGCAGTATCATGTGATCAAATTACACATATATTGCTTATGGATACTATTATTCACCTTTGATTCTTAATCTGAATCGAACTCAGATAAATCTGTTATTTCTTTGCCAGGCTCTAAGCCAGTTTGCTCTTCTACATATTTTCCTATCCAGTTTACAGTTCTTTCAAGCCTTTTGAATTGAGAATTAAGTTTATCCACTTTTATTATTAATGATACAATTTCTCCAATAAAAATACTGGATTTTTTATCAATTGCTGAAGACGCTCTTGTATGATAATCGAGTTCTGATAACGATAACTTCATTAGTTCTTTTACCATGCCTTTCTCATACACGCTATATATGCTATTGGATATTTGCTCTTGTTTACATTCCGTTATAGAGAAGTATTCTGTAATCAAATATTTATTATACAAGAAAAAATATATAATAATAATACTCCTGAGCGTCTTGTCGCTCAACCACGCTAGATCTTTTCTTTCACTAATAGCTTATTAGAGTGAGCTGGCTATGTAAGACGTACATTCATTTTGATATTTCTCTAGGAGCTTGGCGCTTATAGCTCTTTTTTCGGCCACTTTATGAGGTATACCATCTTTTACTATATTTTTATAAATTATATTACGCCAATGATCATATGGTAAAGTAGTTATCCCATCTGATAGAATCCAGCGTTTAGTATCTATAGAACATAATGCCTTTTTCTCTGACTCAACTAGAAATAATATGTGATCCTTTAATCGAATACCTACATTTTTGGCATAGAATACTTCCTTCCCAAAGAGACAATCCAGATATATTAAAATCATAGGATCTGCCTCAGTTCGCATAGTCAAATCTTTAGCTTCTTGTTTTGATAATAATGATTTATCTATTGGATCATCAAGCAATAATCCTTCTAAAGTTGGTATATATATATCTGTAACCATTTCATCCATACCTTTTTTGCTAACCTCTTTATGTCTAGAATTCGTGGACTTATCAGCTAAGACATAGTGATATAATTTTGCCCAAATATGTGTAGAGTAGACATTAAAATCACATTACCAGGAGTCTTGTCCTTATATTTGCCAACTGCTTGATCTCCATTAAGATTAAAGAGATCAGATTGCTCAGACATATCTTTATAGAGTTCTTCAGTCTTGGTTTTGAAGAAGTAAGAGTCTGTATTCATATAGCCAAGTTTAACATTATCCCCATATTTCTCCTTCAAATATCCATACCAGAATTTATACATGTAAAGCTTACTAAGTCCTAAAACAGATGCTCTAATTATGATAGGCTTGTTGAGAATCACGCTAGCTTTTCCCATATGCGTTCCTACTAATGTAAGTCCAAGTGGTCTGCCATACTTGAAAGATGGCATGCAGATCTTATTTAAGAAAGGTTTTTCATTTTACTCATTATTATTCTTCATAATCTTAACATCCTGGTACTTACGAATATTTTCCATAGTCTTGCCATATACTGATACATTCATAAGTTTAAAAAAGTCACTCAGGAACGTATTTCCAGCTTTTTTAGCCTCATTACTTTTCTCAGTATTAAAAGATATATATGGTTCAAGCTAATTAGTCTGATCAAAAAATAGTATCTTTAAAACTTCATCTATAACAATACCTAATTTTACATAATATTGGAGCTCTTGGTAATGGATAACATAGTTCTTTCGTGATCCAAGATGAGGAACTAATTTTTCTATAGCAAAGAAGCGTCTACCATCTAATTATTCTACAAGTTTAGCATTAAAAGAAAATAACCAATCCTTTTCTATAATGACATTTTCAACAGCTGGAGGTAAGTCTGATAAATAGTTATGGGTTTTTAAGGGAAAATATGAATTAACTTTTAAGAAATACTCTCGTTTAGCATCAGATTATGTATTGAGAATCTTTTCAAGATATTTCTTCTGCATAGCTAGATTTTTTAGTAAATATTTCCGATTAGCTTCCCATTGATAATTTCTAATAGGCAAATATTGGCTCATAGAATGACCATAAAGATTTGTTGCATTCACATATGAAATATATGTAGTTGGTTGGGATGGGTCATAGGCTTCTTCCATCTTAGGATTATTGGCCTTAAAATATCATTGATAGGCCATAGATATACCACCTCGCTTTACTTTTTCAATAAAATTATGCATAGTTATATCTGTGAAAAGTTCAATCCTAACTTTAACATCTTAAGCATTCCATCCCAGAATAATAATGGGGCAGAAACATAGTGACTGGAATCAAGTTCATAATATTCCATAGACATTTTTTGAAACTCTATTCAGACATCTGTTAGACTAAGTACGTCAGTCTTAAAATAGAGATCATGATACTCACCTAGATTTTTACATCTGAATTCCTTCTATACTTTCCGGATGTATTTGTAGTCATCTTGTGAGATTTTACCTTTAAGAGTACTATAAAATTCATGAATGGAAGGAAGTTCTATCTCCTGAAACCTATCATGAGAATTGATATAGTCATAGAAAAAACTCCTTTATGATATACTAATACTAATTGCTTCTCTGTATAATCTAATTTTTTGAAATATTGACTTGTTATTAGGTGGTTATCACCCAAATTTTTTGTAAGGCTGGCCAAGCTACTATTCATGAACTGCATGCTATCTATATATTTGAGTTACTCTACCTTCATAGATTTATATTGCTCAAATGTTTCAGCTATAACTTGGATATGAAGAGTATTAGCTGATCGCCCAATAGATTCACAAAGCAAGTGAGAGTCATAGCCTCAAAAGTTGTGAAATATAACTGGAATTGGAGTCTTTCAATCCTATATTTGAAGTTTGAGATTACAATCCCTATGGGCTGATCCACGAAACTTACCTGTGATATGATAATGATTCCAGACCTTATTAGCTTTAGCTTTTTTGCTAGCAATTGTCTTAGTTTTTTTATCAATAGTTGTTTTGATGTCATTATATTCAGCTGAACCCTTTTTAAACTTTCTAGCTTCTCTTTAAGATTGGTTATTTTGTTCTCTAGACGTCCAATTTCATCTATATCTATATCAAACTTACCTTTACAGATATAACAATTAATTGCTTTTGTGAAATTTTTCTTATCTTCTTCAGTCTCAATTTGCTCATGTTTGATGGCTAGAATCTCATTGATTTTGACCAGCTCCTGATCAATTCTTCAAACGAATTCCTGTATAGCATTTTCTTCCCTGTATAAGAAAGGACCCTATATATCCCTAGTGTCAATCTAGTGGATTAGATAATAGAAACTATTGGCCTTCTGCTCAGCGAGTTTAATCATACTTCCACCATATGCTTCATACACTTCTTGTTGCCAGCCTCAAAATCAGCTATAATAATACATAAAGCATTGATCATTCGACCATAGTTCTTGAACTTCTCAAAATCATTGACCCCTTTCACTGGCATCCCGACTCTTTGAGAGGCATTTTCATGTATTCCTGGTTACCATTCTAAATGATATTCTAGAGACTTTTCAGAAGGCCAGCTTATAATGCATCTATCACATAAATATTTCTTTTTTTATGCACATTATCACTATATATTAATCTGCTAGGATTTTTGATCCAGTGAAAGTGGTTTTTTTACCCATACTTATTTGTCTCATTATATTTAGTAATATCTGTAAGGGCCAATAGACAAATTTTATGTTTTCTTTTAAAGTTTTTACTAGCTATCACAAGTTTTGAAGTAGCTTTTCTTCTTTCTATTCTCAGACACTGATGGAGATATCTGGATTCATCTCCTCAATCTTATTAAATTTATGTGAGTAGATAAGAGTAGGCATTGGAATTCTATCTAGCTTGACTATATCTAAATATAGTTTATATTTTATAACACAAAAGATTATTTCAAGATGATCTGTATGCCCATTCTGATCTGCAAAATATCAACCTAATGCATCTTGAAGACAATTTTCAGAAGGTCTATTTGTTTCTGGATCTATAAAAATATGATTATTAAGATTGATAGTACACTTTCTATTGGCTAGCTTCTTTAGAATAGAAATATAAGATCTTCCTGTGACTCGTTAGCATTTATATATCTCAATAAATATTTCAAGATTTCGCTCAAGAACATATCCAGATCCTTTTTTAATGTAATCTCAATTTGCTTATCTATTTCTCCAGCTGATTTAGTTATATGCTCATCTGTATCATTTGTTAATAGCAAATATCATATCTTCCCTCTTTCATGATTGTATACAAATGATGTATGACTTGTGTCATCTCAATCTCTTTTAGTAATTGAATACAAACACAAGGCTACTATAGCTGATTTTATTTGGTTTTTTCTACGAAACTCTGTTTGAAGAACTTCTGTTATTTTCGTACGAATTAGTCTCATAAGTTGAGGTATGTATGGAATTTCTTTATATTATATAAGATCAGCTATTGGTTGTAGAGGTTGGAACTGGTTCAACACAATCGAATTAAAACCGGTTCAACCCGAATTTAATATAAAACCGGTTCCGATTTTTCAACTTTGATAATCCGGATTTAATAAAACCGGTTCTAGAGGTTGGAACCGGTTCAACATAATCGAATTTAAACCCGAATTTTAATATAAAACCAGTTCTGATTTTTCAACTATGATAATCCGGATTTAATAAAATGGTTTTAATAAACCAGTT